AGTTTTTGGACAGTATATTTTTGTATTTTATTGATTGTGTTGTTACACGTGCATTTTTGTCAACATACTTGCAGGTTCATAAAGGACATGTACCATGCTCATTTCCCAAATGAGGAATTTCTGTTATCAGGACAAATTGGACAGCGCAAACACGAGTCCGCACTAGAGAATATTTACTGTATAATATTAAAAGTCAGTTTATTTTTGTGAAACCGTGCACTAATTAAGGTCTTGTACTTCATGTTGGTTTGTGCCACCTTTCAATGGGAATTTTGATGCAAGTGAGTCCTTTGCTCAGGGAAGAAATATCACAGTGTGTGGTTATATATGCATTTTTGCTTCAAAGCATTCATCGTTGAGGAGTGGATCTTTGTATGCATTTGAGTACGAATAGATATTAAAATACTATTATTCTGTACATTGCTTGAAAAAAACCAAAACGACAGACATGCACAATCTTGCTCGATATTTTAAATGGCATTTTTGTCACAGTTCTGGTGAGGAAGTGCATGGTCCTATCCAAAAAATGGTGGCCCCCTCCATCGTTTAATTTGCCCATCCCTGCTTTAAAGGGTCAAAAATGCTCAATAGTAAAACTCGTGGAAGAGATCCATGCTCCATCCAGGTTGACTGGAAACCAAAGATTTAGCTTTCCAAACTGTACCACTTGGCTCTCTCTTCCAGCTAGTGTGCCAGTGTTGCCCAGGGAAAAAAATTGGCCTCCACAACTATCTTTGTGAATGACAAGAATTTGGGGGCGAGGGGGGTCTGTATGCCAGACATTATAAATGATAACAGACTTCCCAGCAACTCCCACAATCAGTGGGGCTGAGAGGCAGACACGATGCAGATGCAAGCATTACGTCAGCCCACCGGGGTTGTGCACCGAACTCCGACCCTACAGTGCCGCACACGTACACAACCTGTGCCTGCTTTCTTCCCCAACCATACACCCAACTATTCGCCAGTTCCTCAGCCATTCCCTCAGCCATTCCCAAGCGTTGAGAAAACAGAGGTAGCCTTGACAAGGACGTCTGAAAACACAGGTACTGTAGTACCAAAGCTATGTTAATCACATCCACCTCCTGTGGGAGCACAAAGGTGGTGCCTTTTTAACGAGAGCCAGTCCTTGTGCCTGCGTGCCTGCCTGCCTGCGGGGGATCCATGGGAGACCCGTTCGGTTCGCCTTTCACCATCAAAGGCGCTCGGGCAATGTGAGAATCCACCTGGGAGAGGAGCCTCTCAACAGTCCTGAGCCCTCATATCCGTCTGTGATGGCTGGTCCACAGTGGGGACGGACGGGAGGGGGAGGGATGCCTAACTCTAAAGAGGGGGTGCTAGTGCTGACTGTTGAATTGATTGTTAGCAGAAGAATCCCACAGATGTTGTATTGACAGTGCTGCAGAAGCATTTGTTCACAATGGAGTGCGCTAATGGCGAACACTACCTTCTAGCTGTGTCAACAAACAAAAAAAAAAGTTCCTTGTGTTCATTGTACCTAAAATGGAGTGCACCACTTTTTTCTTTTCTTTTCTTTTTTCTTTTTTTTTTTTTAAGAAGGCTGCAGCTAATTTAAACCTGAAAAGCCAGTGTTATAGCTTCAGATGCCGCCAGGGCAGGAAGAACCAACACATAACTCAGAACAGAGTTGCTCTTCGGGAGCTGCACATGGCTCACTGACAAAAGGTCATGATGTCAAAAGTCAAACAGCACAATAGATTACAGGCTAAAACATGCATGAGACGCATTGATGAATTATAGTCATACTTATTTATGCCTATTGAGGTTTGTTTTTTTTGGGGGGTAGATTTAGGAGCAGCCTGACTTAATTGCCACCACTGAATCTTATTTCGTCAACACTTGTGGTTAAAATCCAGGAATATGGATTTGATTTGGACTCAGTCAGATATGAAGATAAGCTGACGTCCATCCTCTGAGGGGACCACTAACATTGCCGTCTGCACAAACATACCCGATGCACCAACCAACATGCCTCAATGGTAATAAAATCTCAATTCCTGTGAGAATATTAAGCAAAGCTCCAAACATGTAAAGCAACTGCCTGTGTTTTACCGCAAGAATGCACGCCTTCACTTCTAATAAGACACTCTCACAGTCTCCGCAGCACTCTAGAGCGGCAAGTCCAACGACTTGCCAAGCCTTATAGGTTTTATTTGAGAAAGTCTAATGACTTCAGCGTGTGACTACTGGAAACATTGGTAGCGCTTTCAGGGAAGGCCGGAGTGCTTTCATAGAGACGACCAACAGTGACCAAGACTTCTGAAGATAGAGCGCACTAGGGAAGCATCGTGTGGCGCTGCCTCAACCTGGACAGCACATGATGGTGTCATATTCCCGCCATGTTGTTACAGTCCTCAAGCATTCATCATATTGCAACAATCTGTCTGTGTGACAAGGCAAGCACATTATTCCTGGGCGGCCTTTGTGACACGAGCAGCAGGGGGAAGTCATGCAGACAGACAAAACCAAAAGGAAGAAATGTGTGAAGCCATGGAATGCGTTTCAAGTGCCGAATATACCACACAAGGCTGGATGGTCAGAGCTGGAGCGAACATACACAACACACGACACACTTATCTCAAGAATCTTCCAGAAAGAGGCTGACAGTGGAAATCCTAACTATAGAAAATGCCATCATTCGTTTTTATGTGGCCTCAAACAGCTCACTTTGTGAAGCATTGATCTTCCAAAATAAACACGTTTCGCTTGCTGTGCTGACAGCCATTCGGCAACTATCGCAAACTACAGCGCTTGGCTACCCAGTCCAAAAAAGTCATTAAAACAGGATGAAAAAGGGAAATACTTTTAAACGAGTGACTGAAATCCGCGTCTCCAAGATAGACCACCTTTGTTGTGCAGCAACTGAATTTTTTTCTGATGACATCTTTCTTGATACATCACTAACAAAGCCACATGTCACTGAGGGTTTGGGAAATGAACATTGCGTTCTCGTCAGGGCACGGCTGTATTCAAGTCCACCTTTGTCAAGTCCAAATCAAGTCCGACTCACAAAGTTCCAAGTCCATATGAGTTCAAGAATAAACCGTCAGGCAAAAATACTATTTTCACGAACACAAAACTCTATGCTCAACATTCTTCTCAGATGGCATTTCAAAAACAATGTGACTTTAAAAATGGTGGTCAATCTCAGGGGAGAGACAAGGATGAGATTCGGCACCGGGGGAGTAGGCAAAATGTACCAAGCAGTGAGAGGCGGCTAATGAATGAACATGAAAGCATCACTGCGGTGGCTTTTGCTGTCCCCGATTCCCACCTAGCACAGCTTGAGAACACCAAGTGTGTGTGTGTGTGTGTGTGTGTGTGTGTGTGTGTGTGTGTGTGTGTGTGTGTGTGTGTGTGTGCGCACATGACTTGACACACATTTTTCCAGCAGCCCAAGGTGGTGACTGGGCCTTGTCACATTTCCATTGGAAAACCGCAACTTGTGGATACCGCACATGCCAGCAGGGTGCCAGGAGGCGGCGGCCTCAACCATGATGCCATTGGCAACAGCGGCAGCGTTGGCAAAACTTTCCCCTCACACTTGGCCTCTTGAGCTACCTTTAGCCATACCCTCTTGCTGGCCAAATACAAATACAGAAAGTTATGCGTACGTTTGGAGTTTGTTTTGAACCACCGCCCTGGTGACTGCAGTCAAAATTGTCATCGAGGTAACCCATCGGTGTGGCATTGGACAATGCCATAGATCTACTTGTGCCAACAATCTCTCTGACCGTCTCAATAACTGCATTGGAATGTTGTCAAAACAAATACTCAACAAATGAGTGTACGTTCCCATTTTTTTTTTCAGCTGTGTGGTCTGATGCAATTTCTTGAGTAATTTTACAAACCAAAACATACCCAATATGTTTACTTTTGGCTGGCTCCTAAGCAGTTTATACTTAAGTCCCTCATATATGTTGAGTTAGGAAAGGTGCCCTCTGCTTCGCCTCCAGCCTGCGCTGCAAAGCACGGCTTGTCTGGACCCAGGAATGTGGGGAGTTGATCATAGAGCCATAGAGCAACTTAATTCCCACAAGTCCTGAACCGTGCAGTCTAAACACACTGAGGTCCTGTGCTGTTCGGTGCTAACTATTTGTTTTTCCTCAGCTGGTGAGTGGGACTTCACACAGAACACACCAGAGGGAGCCATGCTTTCCAGCCGGGATGCTTTACGGAGCAAAAGGAAGAGGTGGGAGAGGCTTGATTGTCATCATGCAGGCCTGATGGTCCACCTCCCCCTCCTCCTCCTCAGAAGCCTTTTGGGCCAGGATTTAACAAACTCCGGTCGGGGCGACAGCTATCTGCCCCCTGTGTAGTGGACACACACAAATTCTTGTTCTAACAGAGTCAACTAGTGCAAACCAAACGTCATTCTTGATTTGGGTTTTCCGCACGTCTCTGTGACCTTGATCTTACCAATACAGGGCAGACGTGTCGATTTCGGAACATGGTCCTCCATGAAAGTCCAAATAAAATTAATTTTGATTTCCAATGCTCCGTTTTGTTAAGTGCAAAAGAGATAAAGCACGTTGAGACTTGAGACTTCCAGCCGCCTGATGAATGCCAGGTATCGCTAAAGGTCCTGCTGCTGTTTGGACTCGTCTAACCCACCACAGCAACATTCCCAGGATTGTTTATATGAGGAGGCCCTACTCAGACGAAAACCTGCCACTTACTTACTAGTCAGGTTTCTGACAAACGTACAGGAAACACATGTTCTCTTAGTTTGATTAGATCTCGTGACGTGAGTAAAAAAGACACGACGTAGTCAGTTGCTAAGGCTAAGAAACTACATCCAATCCAAAATAATAGAACCTCCAAATATGATGCAGAGTGGTTGTACACCACCGCAAACTACAAGAATAAACATATTGATATCATACTGTAGTACGTAAGCGTGCTCTAATAGCATTCGCTGGTCAGATCTCGGCATATGCATCCTTTCCTAACCACCGGTAAACACGGGCAATGACAAAATGGGACTAAAATGAGTTTTGTAAATATAAACTCACCACTTCTGTATTTGTGATTTTGGCCAGAAGGTCTGTCAGACTGTCGCCCCACTGGGATTGGTTCACTGAGTCCAGCTGTAAGCCGCAGATTGCTGCCCCCACACTTCCTGTGGCAATCATGGATGGAGGGTACATGGCGAATCTGAAGTCTGTTGAAGAGGAAAAAAGCTAAGTGAGTAAAGGTGGGAGTGATGCTGCTCTTGTTTTTCTGTGCAGAATACAGATTTATGTGTGAAAAAAAATCTGTTTTTTTTTTGGTAACCCTTAACCCCCCCTCCCCCTTCAAAGGACATTTAAAACAGACCGGTTTATCTTTTAGTGCACAGAGAATATCATGAGCGATTTGAGGATTCTCGGTGAGTTGCATTTCTTCGGCCGAGCATTTCGAGTTCAACAAGTTGTACAAAAAGAAGCGTGCAACGTTACCTTAAACCAGGAGTTAATCAACTCTATCGAACAGAGGATTATGTATTCCGATGGTGTTGTTTCATTATTTTAGGTTTTAATGAATATGATGCACAACAAAAAGTGCAGGGTGGGACAATACCGTATGATTTGGTAATCTAGCAGTCAGTTGATAAATAATCCTTCTATTGCGCACAGTCTGAATGCAGTGCTCGCTAATGACCAGCAGCCTGGATAATGAGGGTTCACTTGGCTTGTAAAGGAGCTGAAAAGCAGCCGCCCTCCCTCAACTCCCCTCCAAACCCCCACTCCCTTTCCCCCAGGCCAGCCCCTTTCCTTCCATCTCCTGAGTAAATCGTGTGCTTGCTGAAAAAGCCCCATAGCGCTTGGAAAGGGAGGAATAAAGAGGCTCAGTGCCTCTGCCAATGCTCACTGCTGTAGGTCCTTTTTCCACGTGTGGTCACAGGCGTGCGTCTCAAAGACCAATAACCTTGTTAGCTCCCCTCACTGTCATTCATAATGCAAATGAGACAGCTTGTGAACGGGCCAGAAGCCCGAAAAGGCAAGGCAACTGGCATACAGGCGTTAGGGGGGGGGGGGGGCTGGGGGGGAGGGAGAGGGGGGGTTATGTGCTTCTGCCCGCCACTTCGGCTTCAAAAGCGTGTGCGGGGGGGCATGTGTGTGAGAGAGAGAGAGAGAGAGAGAGAGAGAGAGAGAGAGAGAGAGAGAGAGAGAATCATCATCTCTCACGCCGCTATTCTCTCTGTACGTCTTGCTCAACTTCTACCTTTCTTTTTGGAAAGCACACAGCCCACTCCGGGGGGGGGTTAACTGAATGACACACATGCTCCAGGCTTTGTCGCGGCAACAGGCGGTGGTTTGCATTGGCGGCCCTCCTATCTTTTAGCATATTAATGGAGTGGCGGGCCAGCGAGATGGAAGGCAGAAGAGTGTGACTCCATTGTCCGGAGTCATCACCTCATTTCACCCAATTGAGAGACACAGCATCCATCCCCTGTGTGCTGATGGCAATTCAGCAAGACAGGCCGGACAAAGAGCGTGGCTGGACAGCGGAGGCGCGGGGGGTCAACAGCAAGAGGAAGATGAAGAAGGAGGGATGGACAGAGTGGCGACAAGGCCACGAGGAAAAAAGACTGGAAGGTGGTGGGCGTGGTGGGAGCGCATCGGGGGGGGTTGACATCTCTGCTGCACATCACTCTCAAGTCTGTGTCCAGACCCTTGTGAGGTTTTCCAGGAAGAAAAGAGCTGCCCTCCAGTGACCCTCACCTCCTCTCCTTCCCCCACAAGCATGCCTCTGTTCCTGGGCCACCTTTGGGTTGGGCCAGTGGGCAGCGGGAGGGGGGCAGAGGCAGCCTGTGAATTAACATATTGCCATATTCAATTGCAAAGCAAACGGCATGCCATGGCTCTGAAGGAGATTTTTCTTCCTTCGTTTTTCCTCCAGCTGGAATCAAAGAGGTGGGCCCTTTGATAGGCGCAAAGGCAGGCCCTCGCTGCCTTTTTAACATGCACAGCCAGGAGCTTTCTCATCGTGTGGGCTCAGTGTTGACAAATAAATGAACTTATTATACACCCCTGTGATGGTGGCTGGGCGGCTGCCAAGGGGCCGATTTATTAAAGGCTATCTCGAGCCAAGAGGAAAGAGCACACAAAGACCCTCGGCATTACATCACTGCTGTAATAGTACAACTTTCTCCAGGGGGGTAAAAGGAGAAAGACGTACATGGATTTACACTCCATGTGATGTGAGAGCAGACTGACTGACAAGTGGGCACACCTCACAGGCAAAGAATAATATACTGTACGGCGTGCGTGCACATACAGTACGCAGACGGGCGGCGTAGATGTAGTGCCGTTTTGTGGCTGAGCAGAGTGGCGGGCGGTGTGCCGTAAGCTGATTTTCCGCACTCCTGACAAGACAACAGCGAACAAGGCCGCGCGAGTGCAGTCGATGCGGATCGACGCGCCGGCTCGGTGGCGGCGGCATGCGGGGAGAAGAATGCTCGTATTTTAGGAGCCGCTCATTGATATTCTTGTCGAGGATAAACAGTGTACGTAGCCGAGTGGGGACGCACGCCTCCGATGGAAAGCTCTGTGTAAGTGGCGGTGGCTGCCTCGTTTGGCCAGCACGCCTCTCAGTGCCTTCAATGGCCCTTTCTCTTTCTGTCTGCAACTCCATCCTCTCTGGCCTCTGGTCACATAAAGTCTGCTGCCCTACATGGCACACTCCTTGTGGGTGGCTGCAATGTATGCACATTCAACTTGTAAATCAATGTACACTGGAGAGCTGAACACCAGCCATAAAAACTGGCAGAAAATCCACAACTCTCTTCTCCAACTCCCCCTCTTTTTCCAACGCAATAAATCAAGGTCCTGTAGCGTATAGATGTCGTACCTGCTGACCATGTTTAGGAAAGGTGAAAATTAAACATTATTTTAGGATTGCTAAATCACCATTACCACTAATGCACCGTCATTCAAAACGCCCCTTGGTTTTTGAAAAGTTTCACATACAGAGCAGAATGTTGTCAAGCCTGTGTAAGCCGGGGCAGCTCACGGCAAAGCTCCAAGGTAAATCAACTACATACCGATTCACACCAACAAACTTGCTGCAGATGAACAGTTATCCTCATGAACATTTCATCATGTCTCTTTATGATTAGCACAAGATACCATGACGATAGAAAAGCAAAGGCTTGGTCGCTCACACAATAATGACACAGCATTGGGACATTTGACATGGGAGCAGGATGTCAAACACACAACCTCTGGCTTGACAGACAGCCACTCACCTGCCCGGTGCCAAGTGTCGTACCAAGCTCCTCTCAGTCTCCTCTTTATGTATTAACTAACCCCAATGCTCCCTTTTAGTGTACGTAACAGCATAATAGCCTTGCGTTCGACTAAACAGGCACGAATTTCACACTTTGTAAGTTCATCATGACTCTCACCAAGGTCAAACATGAATACTTCCAATGAGGATGTTGCCTTTTCAAACACAGGAGTGAATGAATGAACAGCATCCAGAGATAAATTCCCTTTGCGTTTCTGGTGTGAGTCAGATGGCCACATGGTTTTAAGTGGGTTGCTGACGGAGGGAATGCAGGACATGCGGCCGTGTGATTCATTTACTGTGTCACACGTTTGGGCGCAGGCTACTTCCTGCTTCATCTGTTGCCAATGTGGCGGCACCGGACATGATCCCACATATCAAGGATGTGAGGATAATTTGTCGGAGGAGGTGGCTAATTTGTTCAGGCTCTGACGCATCCAGCGTGAAGGAGTTTTTTTACGATAACAAACAGCAGTAAAGATCGTTTCATTGACCACATCTGAGATGAATCATTCATTTCGTGACCAATTTGATGAGTGTCTCCATGCCGACGGCATTCTGGTCCGGTGAGATTGGCATCAAAAGACACATGATTCACTGAAAAATATTTGCACTGTTGCGTAGAAATCGCATGGGAAATATTTGCCCACGGTTTCGCCATCTTGTGGAGCTAAAGGATAACCATGGATGAACATCCATCCATCCATTTTCAACACCACTTATCCTGAACAGGGTTGCAGGGAGTTGCTGGAGCCTATTCCAGCTGACTTTGGGCGGAAAGCAGACTACACTCTGAACTGGTCGCCAATCAGTCGCGGGCCGCATATAAAGACAAATAACCATTCACACCCACATCCACACCGAGTGGCAACGGATAACACACAAGTTAGCCGACTGTACCACTACACCATCAGCGACTTTCCATGGAGGACCGGTTAGGTATTAAAATGAAAACGAAACCAAAAAACATTTTTCTTGATTTTATCTGGTTACGTTCTGATACAGACAACATTTTGGTGTGAATTTGACCAGCTGCGTGATCATACTGTATAAGTTTAAGTATGTATGCGTTTTCAATATAATGTTCATATTTCTTGCACTCTGGCTCTCAAAACGGGCAAGACCCAATGCCAAATTTGTATGTCCTGCCGGTGAAATGGACTTTAAACAAGAGGAGGAAAGGAAAAGGGTGTCTTCGAGCTAGTGAATCATTAGTTTTCCTCTGTCAAACGAACAAGTTAATGATCAAGTTACTTGACAGTTCAAAGCCACTTCCGAGCCCTTCCTTCCATTGGAGAAAAAAAAAAAATCAAATCCCATTTATAACTTGGAAGAGCTTGTCCTCTGCCACTTGAACCACTCGTGATCTACATCCCAACATGCAGGACAATAGACTTTCTTTCACGGCCAATCTCCAGGTGTTGCATTTGATCCACATGCATGAGGATCCAAAACGTGCATACCATTACAGTAAAGGCTATTGGAGTGCACAATTTAAAACAAGGCGGCATAATCCCTGCCAATATGGCCAGAAGACAAAGCTCAATAACCACAGCGGACAGTTTGGGGTGCATCTGTCTGCCCCGCGCACCCCGTCTATTCTCCCACTTTAGCCCAATTGAATAAGAATAGCCGAGGAAGCTGGGAGTGCTTGGTGTGCGTGTGTAGGAATGGAGGTTCATAATCTCCCTTAATGAGCTTGTTTCTGGGCTATTATCCGGCGGGCTGCCTGAGGGAAAGGCCGGTGTTTCCTATCAAGTGGCCCCGCGGCGCTGACCCTCACATGGCTCTGCATATGAAATGCAAGGGCCGAGTCTTTTGTCCCGCCTCTCGCAGTCTTGAGCGGAGTCCCTCAAGCCATTTGCATCGTCCTGAATGGACCAGCCAGTGTTATTAATTAATACAGAGCCTGCCTACGCCACCTGACAAAAACCCGCCGAGTGGCCTGAACGGAACTGTTTCATCAAAAGCGAGGAGCTATTAGGAAGGAGAAGCCTTAGTCTCCACTTCTCCTTTCTCCTTGTTCTCTTGAAGACATAGCGCTACGGTTTATGTATGTCCCACCTCTTTTAACGATGTGTCCTTTCAATCGCAGGTCGATGGGCAATCTGCAACAAGCTGTGGTGTGCTTGGAGAAGAGGCTGGTGGGCTGAATGAAACGGGAAGGCCACAGGTGACCTGTTGTCGACTGTCTTGCAAATGTAAATCCTCCTGAGAGCTCCCCTCCTTGTGTCGCGTCTTCAGCTCTTCAGATGGGCTCGGAGGATGCCTTTCGGGAAGATTCTCACCAAGATAACACAAGATTTACGTCTGGGAACACTGAGCAAAAAAGGGTTTCGGATTCCCAGATATCTTCAGTGCATCGAATTGTTGACTCACTCGCACTCTTGTCTGTCTGCGTCCGGCCCTCACTACTCTCTGTTTGCCGAGTGCATACATAAATAAATGGTCTGTTGCTAATCCAGCACTATCTGCGGAAAGGCTCTCTCCGAAGACGCAATGTCAGGAGGACTCGGCTCGTAAACTCACTTCCACTCCCTCGATGAAGCCATTACGGACAAAGTGCATGCTGAGTCTTTCACAATGCTACTTTGAGAATAGGTACTATCGCTGACATGTTGTCATTACACAAGAATCTACACGACACAGAGGGAGTCGGTTCGTTTTTCTTTTTGCTTCAGCCCATCATTCACATTCACCCTCGCCTTTTTTTCATGGTGGCTTTACATTTTTTTAAAAAATCTTCTATTTTAAGGCTATGCAACTCTGCCTTGCTCAGAACTATGTAAGTAAAAGGGACAAATTCTCAAGGGGTTCGGGAGATGCATTCCTGTCTGAGGCCTGCCCAATATGGCGCTATTGGTGGCATTAAGGAAGAGTGATCATTAATAATAATACAGCATTCCTCCTGCCCTGTTGGGAGCTTCTCAGTTTTGAGGTGATGCAAAGAGGAGGCGCATACCTCCCCACACGGGGGAGCGCTCATCTCCTCCAGCTGCGGGGCGCAGAGGCATGGCAAGTGAAGAAGGAAGGAGATATGAAAACGTGCAAAGCTCCTGCATCTTCTTCACCGCCATCTACAGATCAGGTTAAAGGCTGTGTGTCCCTCCCAGGCCTCACTTGATGTTTGATCTTGTGGGAACACTCCACCTCACAATAGCTTGCCAAGCCTCCACGCCTGTCCATCACTTCTCCCAACCCCGTGCCACATGGGAATGCTCCTCAACCGGCCGAGTTTGCTTTGAAGTGTTACTGGAGGCTACCGGTGAGCCTCCAAAACACCGCCACATACCAGACTGCGACATGGCAGAAGATGAAGGGAGTCTAAACTGTGAAACATCTTCAATGACATAAGTTGAATTTGGAATACTTTCATCTTAAAGTTAATGCATCTCACTTACATGACATCAGGCCTATGAGCTGAGCTGTACTTTGATATGGAGCGCAGAGAAGAATATGCAGAAACGTGTTTACAACATGGGAAATGTATGCAGTTGCGCATTGCCAAGGCCACTTTGCCTTTTTTCGGCTCAGCTCTCGATGCCTCACGTTGGGGCGGCTGCTTTCTCCACTTCAAACAATATCGTGTAAAGCTGTAGAAACCAAGTTGCATCGAACTCATCGGACATGCCAGAAAAGACCACCAATGAAGGGAAATGAGTCTCATGTATTTACTTTGTGGTCACGGAAAGGAGACAAATTTTATTTCGGAGCACTTCAATTCAACAGCGTATTGGGAGACGATGGCGTGCAACAATGGAACATAATAAGGATTGTTTTCCTCACTTCTAGCCACGTATCCCGCAAAGTTGATTGACTAACCTGGTTGAGAGTAGTTTACGTCACCTTTGTGTCACACTTAAAAGTACAGTATATGCAGGGAGGGGGTGGCGTCGGGGGATTCACTTTTAAACCGTCCCGTTCCTACAGCGGCACGGATATGTTCCTAAGTCGCAACAGGCTGCAGTCCATCACTAACCTCCACGACGCAGTAGTAAAGTCATCATTACAGTGAATAGGTCCAACAAAAATACTTAGGGACCAATAAGAAAAATAATCAAAGGTAAAAAAAAAACTACGTCTGGCAGAAACGCAGCAAAACTTTTTTTTTTTTATATAGTTTTACCACTACTGCATTTCTGGACCACATTTTAACTGTACAGCACTTTGAGTTGTTGTTGTTTTTTTTTTATGTGTGAAAGGTGGCATATAAATAAAGTTTGATTGATTGATTGATTAAAATTCTTAAAACACACTGAAATTATTAAAGCGCACTACTAATTGTAAACCAAAGTTATTACAGTACACCAACTCTAACACTAAAACTAATATTGAAAGAACATTTTCATTAATAAATAAAATGTCAACAAAAATGCTTTTGAAAAAATGAAAACTAACTGAATCTACATTTTAAGATTATGAAACTAACTAAAACTACAGTTTGTTCGTGTTTTTTTTTTCATATTTTTTTTTTTATAAAAGACTATACAGTATGTGTGTGAGAGTGAGAGCTGGTTTTCAATTGGATCTCAGGCGGGACTGTGATGGCCAGCGGTGATTGGTTAAGGAGGTACAGCCAGGTGACGTCACTTCACTTTGCTGTGACAACACAGCAACAGTCTTTGTTTGAGTCTAATACTTTATGTACGTGTATTTATTTGCTATGGAAGATCAAGATGGCGCCGTAGTTGGCAGCCGTCAGCGAGGGCTCTTCAAGAGCTCTGCTTTTTTGGTGTTTGTTTTCCTTCATTTCGACCCACTGTGGACTGTTTTCAGCGTTTTGGCCACGATATTCGTCGAAGGAGAGGAATCTGTGCTTGATGGTTGCGCCTTCTCGGCAGCACGTGCGTACCAGTACTGATTTTGATTGGGAGGAATGTTGGCACTAGTTGACGGCTGCCCCTTGACAGTCCCGGGGCGCTTGTGTTTTTTTTTAACGTATTTTTCACAGCCCCGTTTTGTTCAGCGGAGATGTCAGCGCTGTTGGGACAGTCTACGTTGGTGCGACTGGATGGATGGCTGCTGGAGCTGAGGATGAGGCGAGAGGAGTGTCGCCGTGTCGTGCAGATGCGTATTTGGACTTGAGAATCAGCGCTTGGAATTGAAGGGGATTTACATGGGACAGTAGAAGTGAACCAATCTCTTTTTTTCATCAATGACTATGACGGACGGGTGCCCAAGCCGCTGACGGATGATGCACCGTCAACATTTTAGAAATTGCCTACCTCTGATAGTTTGCATCTGTTTTCCCACAGGAGCATTGCAATATATTCATGAGGCTATCCATGAGCAAGCATCTGTTGCTTTATTGTAACCTACCTGTGGCACACAAGGCGATGAACGTCTGGACATGTTTGCGTATAAGAGTCAGTTTATCCTCAGGCAGCGGCAGCCTCCTCACTATGTGCTCGATAAAGTCGTTTGGCGTCACTGCTGCCAGGTTCCACTTCAACTTCCCCAACACCACCAGTTCCCATTCCTGAAAAAAGGAGACACCAGCGGATTGTGGAAGCAGACGATGAGGACACAAAAATTAAGGGAGAGATGACATTTACACATTTTGCCATTGTTCGGGTAAGTTATGTTTCTCCAGCAAACCCACTTATGGTTTTTGCATTATGTATTTTCTCTTTCATACAAAGTAGTGATTCAATTGCAAAAACTTCTTTGTAGCATTTTAATTTCCTTTAGGTAATCTTATCTGACTTCCTTTTTCTGTCGAATCAACCCTCAGTTGCCATTCAAACAACCTTGTAAGCATGCCTTATGAATTCTGCCTAGCAACAAGTGGCCGTGTAAACATGTGGCGTGTCTAACGACCGAAGATCTGAGCAATTCTCTCATTCCACATTGCTGTGTTTCCAAGACATTCCAAATTTTTAAAAGTTTTATCATAAATGACTAATTGGTTGTGTTGCCCATACTATTTATCCTAACACTGTCTTCAAAGGAGACAAACCGTGAAAGAGATAACTGCAGTTTTCACAGTACTTAGCCAATTGTTTTCATCAAAAAACTTGATCTGGTGCAGATGACAATTATTTGTGTGTGTGTGTGTGTGTGTGTGTGTGTGTGTGTGTGTGTGTGTGTGTTCCAGCCCGACACAAAGAAACACAAGCAATGTCACCAGCTCAGGTGACCTCGCGACTGTGTGCTCCCTCCCTGCTTGTCTGTCTGGCATCTGGGACTTTCCTAAAGAGGCCCAGTAGAGGTTCCGCTGTGTGTGAGTGGAAGGGAAGGAAGACTGTGCATTGGGAAGAATCAGCATTTAATCTGCATTCAAACGGTGAAAGAAATGTAAAAATACTCTTAACCGGATTTCCTCCCACATAAACCATTAAAAGTAATTTGGAAAATCTCCGTAAACCCACCATTGTTAAGTGCCAAACAGACCTACAATTCATATGTAGAAATGCCTTGTACCGACACAAGACATTGCTGTAGCAGTACTTTGAGTCGGGGGGACACATGCTGCTGTTCATGTGATGGGACGTGACACTAGGTGTGGTGTTCTCCCGTCTTAGGGTGTATTGTTACTTTCACTTCCGAGAGCAGGAGGTGATTAATTGAAGAGTTAGTGACTAATTTAGGAAAACATTTAGTGGTTTGGTTCCGGACTACTGCCTTGTGACTGCAGCCACGGATGGTACTCATTTTCTTCCTCGGAGAGACCGCGTGGTCACAGTCATGAGATAATCCAACATGGCTGCCCCTGTTTTTTTTTTCCAGACATTCGATGTTCTACTTATAATATGATGATATGATGGGACCATCATGTGAGCAACAAGATTTTTTAATGCATTTAAGTGCCTCTTCCACAAGTGCAACTGCACTACAGAATCTGTGACAAAAAAAAAAAAAAAAAAAACTTGCAACATAGCAGAGCTGAATGCTGAGTGGCAGGTTGGCCCCCACTTCCTTCTGCTACTGCCTTCCTATGGTCACACCTCTCTAACATTGTGGTTCAATTTACAAGAAACTCTTACCAAAGATGAGGACCACAAAAAAAAAAAAAAAAAAAAAAAAAAAAAAAAGAAGAAGCAATCACATGCACTGAGCAGCTGATCTCTGTTTCCTGTATCTGCATGACAGCCAAAATACTGCCTTATACAGAAACAGTGAGAGGAAGCATCAGGAAACAAACAGCAGAGGGCCTCAAAAGTTAAAAGTTAGACATGCTGCTTGATGGAGTGCACCTCTTTCAAATGCTGACCATATAGGTACGAGAATGGAAATGAGAGTGCTCCGTCGTCGAGCCGCCGGCTGCTTCAGGACCATCAGCGGCATCTGAATTATAAAATCAGGCCTCTTTCATAACACGGATGGAATTGACGGTTGTTTACCGAGGAATGTTTATGTAGCACTGCAGAGCTTCGTTATCTGATGTGAGGCCTAAGTAATTGCTTTGCGCAGGTGACGGCAGCCGCGGATATCGCAGGCCTTCGCAAACGAATAATTGTTTTATCCCCTCCGACGAGTACGGTAATCATGCAAAGTAGAACCAGCGTGACATAACATGGCATCATATGCTTGTGCATCGGTGGTTATTTTGGGATGGAGGCTGAACTGTAAAAGGCAAACTTGGATTTCTCTGTGCCTCTCTCCCACTCTGACAGGAACAGAGTCAGAAGTTTGGCCGCCATTCAAGATGACCTCGTTGCTCTGCGTGTGCAAATATTTGCCGCTAGATGGCAATGGAGACCATTAGACAAACTTTAAAGCCCAGCCAGAGGGGTCTGTACAGTAAGGAGCCCCTGTGGAGCAATTCACTTGTGTGTAGATTTTGCGTTTCATTAAAACACAGACTGAAAGTGTACCCTGGATTTCATTTTTTGAGGGGTGTGCGGGGGGGGGGGGAATAATACAAAACACGATGAAGCAAGGGAAAAAAAAGTAGATTAAAGCGTTGGTGTTGAGCAACTGATGACGTTTAAATGTATCTTACCAGCAGCTCTTGTGGTCTGATGGAGTTATCTGTGTAGATGCAAAGCTTCTCTGCAGTTAATGGACGAGTCTCTTTCAATTTGGATGCAAGAAACATGCAAACTGCTCCCAGCAGCTGCAGGTTACACTTTTTGGTGGGGACAACTGCTAGAAATCTGTCTAAGTAGTTCATGGCCAGGGGAAAAACTTCTTCCTCGCACTTCTGCTCCTCACAAACCTAAACAGAGAGAGAGAGAGAGAGAGAGAGAGAGAGAGAGAGAGAGAGAGAGAGAAGTTGGGGGGAGGGGGGCACTACAATAAATACAATATAATACAATACAATACAGCAATGTTCGGTGACGTCAAAGTTTATTACCCAACACTTGAAAAGAATAAATAGGCTTTAAATGTCATCTAAAGCCACATACAAATGCGATGACACTCGAAAGTTGGGGACCAGCCAAGAATTTGCGCTCGGTTCTGATCGGTTGCGACATCACATTTAATCGACGGGATGATTACAACCAAGCATGAATTAAGTGTGAAACACGTCAATACAGTCACACTCCTGCAGTTCATTCACTAAGAAAATGAATTCAAGTCACAATCGCGCCGAGCCAGAAAACACCCAGCTCGTCGCGCAGCACGCGGAAACACTTTTTCTTCATTCGTCATGTTTTTCAAAAAATATTTAAAAATAGAAATAAATTGCCCGGATGCGTTTCTTTTTCACCATAATAAGCTTCAACGCCTTACACATCATACCCGACCGTTCCTATCCAAATTGTTCGAGTATTAATGTGAATAAAATGTCAAAATAAAAGTCAAGTCGCAAGAGGCTGGGGTTGCGTGCGTCACCAGCGAGCCGATATTCACTTCAAAAATTAATTAAAAATATCCAGTAAATCGGAACCTGATAATATTGACATGAAAATAAAGCTGAAAGCCTCGGCAATGTATGTAGTTCGTTGTTAGTGAGAAATACATGAATTAATGTCGACTTTTGAACATAATTCCTGTGTGAGGCATTGCGAAGGGGGGATAGCAAAGGCGCAAATAAGGCCCTCGCCCTTCCTCCTTTCAAACAGATACCTCAAAAGTTTGCAACGATTAAACACACCATTTCTTCAGTCGGGGGACAGATGAGTACGTCCTGTGCTATAGCCGATGGATTTTAAGTGTTGTTATTGCGTTTATGACATTGTAAAGTCCTCTTAAAAAGCACAAGCGCTCCTGTAAAAAAAAAAAAACAACATGGCGAATGGACGACCGCGGTGCTCGGCGAGTGCATACGTGTGCATGGAAATAGTCGGTCTATCTTTTATAAAATCATTAAAAATATTCAAACCAACCGCAACAGACAGCACCAGAGACACGAGCAGCAAACATTGACAATCGTTACGTATGGACGCTGAAAGCAGCGCAAAGACGAGAGACACCAGCGGACTTGAAAAGGCTGAAAAGCCCACATTTGCCTAAAAATGCCCATAAATGAACAAAAGTAGCCACAAATGATTAGTCAAGTCCGTCAATGTTGCATGTAAAAGAAGTACCGAACGCGTGGGGAGTATTTTAAAAGCACACAACAAGCTTTGTGTGGCGTTTATACCTCCAACATCCAAGTGGCGACCATCCTCCTCATAAAGGGCTGAATGTCTCTCTGCACCCCTTTAAAATACGAATATTGAGGTAGAAACCTCTCCTCTATGGTCAACAAGCTCTGGAGGACTCGGTCATCACAAAGGAGGTTCGGATCGGGACGAGCCCGTATATTCGTGTCCATTTCGAGGCAGAGCAGCTCCATGGCGTTTGGCTTAAGTCACAACAACAAAAACAAAACAAAAAGAAGCAGGATCACCGACTGGGAAGTGTGTCGGAGAGCAAAAAACACACCGTGGTGGAAGGGAAAGTGTACAAGGAGGCATAAAAAAAAGAGGCGAGACTGCAGGGGCTCCGTCAGCGTCGTCCTGCCTCTCGTTGTGGAGAACTTTTCCTGTGTGTCCCCTCAGTGCGCCTCTACTTGCATCAGGCGCATTTCAAGGCTGCGCTGCAGGCGTGCGCAACTGACGCAATTCACTTCATTAGCTCCGAGCAGCACACGCATGGCTCTCGCCTTTGCTTTCTTTCTTTCTTCTCTGCCATGCGCGCGCGCACCGCTTATATAGCTCAAATCAACTTATGCACCGTTTTGCCTCCCAAAAGTCGAATAACACGCGTTACAATGGCTCATTATCTTTTTGAAGCGTTGACTTCCATAGGTTCTTAAAAACTACAGGAAGGAACGTCATTTTATTTTAAGTTTACATTGTGACGAAAAATAGCCTATTTCGCAAAGCCCGGGTATGTATTGCCCAAAGATTTTTTTTCAATAAATAAACTACTGTGTGGATGACTTTTTACAGTGATTGCGGTGAACAAAGAGGTGCTGCCATGTGCTTTCCTGAGCAACACTTAGGGCACGAAAAACCCCCAATTTGTCTCCCTCTGTCGAAATATGGCACGGAGAAGCAAGAGGGTGTATATATAGGAATCAGAGAGTTGCGTTTATTAAGCAGATAGTTAAAAAAATACACAACTAATAAGAGATGAGAATCTGCATGGGTAAATATGTTAATGCGCCCATATCCCCTATTCTTCTTGAGCGACTTCAAAGCTGTGAGCTGTGAATGAAGGCCGCAGTGCATCAGGGGAAGACTTTTTGTAAAGTCCTCCCAAATTTGTAGCTCCTATAGGCTGCATAGCGCTCTTGGGAGAAAAAGCAGGGGAAATGTCTCTTTAAAGTTTTTTTTTTCCTTCCGCCCACCCCACACACACACTCCTGTAGTTTCCTCCTCCTTCCGCGTGTGTCTATTTGCATAGCCAATAGTTCTCCACAGCTCGACCAGGCTGGGCGATTGTTACTGGGCAGACTTCCTCTTACCTTCGTCTGCCTCGGCTGGGATGCAAAAGACACATCAGTGAGCGGAGCAGCTAAATTGCATGGAGGGAATACGATTTCAACTGATCGAGTCTCAAATGACAAACTATTGGTTGTTTATGCACAAAATTCCTTGTCAAAACAACAGGCATCTCTGATTGGAAAATGTAGTCTAAAAAGGGTTGACCAGTGCAAATAACAGAGCAGACATTAGTTGTGAAGTGATGCTATAAAAAAGAAAATCATCCAAATCTGACGAATCTGAGAGAAAAGAGCGACAAAGAAGGACGCAATGATGGAAGCAGGTGCTCCAAACTGTCCGAGCGTCCTTTGCTGCCACAGCCGCTTCCTTCACCTGCATGGATCGCACCTGCGGCTGTTTACACACCGATAGTCATCTCTCCGCATGCAAATTGGAGGATATGCAGCCCATATTTGCTTATATGCATACCTTGCCATGTCAGAGCTTGCCTCCTGGAAAGGAGCAACCAGGAGTGAACTGACTTTAAAAAAACAAACCAAAAAAAAAACTTTTATTATTTGTTGTATATTTTCCCATGTGTAGGTTTCTAAATGTCATGCAAGCACCACGTGGTTGAATCACACACATGCCCGGGCGCGTTTTTTCCCCCTATTGTGCAGTTCCATGGCGGAACACCGCAAGGCACATCACAGGCGGAAGCGTTCACTCAGCATATCAGAATAAAGCTGTAACATATCTTTTCAAAGACACGCCAAGCCTTTCTGGCATTTACCGTCCGACTTTTTACTAGGAAGGCAAACAGTCATTGAAAAACGAAACTACAAAGTAAGTGCGCAGCACGCTGCAAGAAATGCACATCGAATAATAAGACTTGTTTGGGGGTCTTTAAAGTTTTTGATTTAAGTAAGTGAAATAAAGAATAATATAATCGAACCATCCATCCATACATTATCCGAACCGTTTATCCTCACGCGGGTCGCGGCCGCGGGCGTACCGAATATAAATATTGTAATTAAAAAATTCTGTTTAGAATGAGGAGATGAAAAAAACGATCGGGGTTTTCTATTGGAGTGAGTCATCATCACCGCACTTTTTACAGGTGAAATCCCCGCGCGGGTCTGTCGACGATTGTTCCTTTATGAGCGACATGACAATCGGGACGAGAAGAAATGATGAGAAAAAATGCGGCAAGTGAGACGAGAGTCGAATGGGGAATTCATCCCAGCTCTTCCGAGACACACAGCAGCTCACTTATGAGTATTTCTCTCACAAGCTCACAACTCACCGACGTGTGTATGCTTTTTTTAAGATGTCAAGTGATATGAAAACCTTTCAGATTCGTTTTAGTTTTTCAACAGTCACATCAATGTTTCAATAAATCATGGGAAGATAGTCAAGGAGGACTTGGTGGCCACTATAGAATGAAAAGGAGAAATAAGCAATGTTTTCAAATGATTGCCATTTTCTTTTTTTCTTTCCTTTTCTTTTTTTTTTTTAAAAATCTTTTGTCCGTTTTGTTCTGGGGTGGTGTAGCCAAACTCGTTTGCATAGATAAGATCAGCTGAGGTATGTGAAAAGAAAATACTCACAGACAAGTCTGCAGGGAGAGAGCATACCTGACATGCAGGGGCTCCCCATTCACATTTTTATTTCCTTTTAAACTCAGCAAATCCCATTAAGAATTTACATTTTACAAAAATAATAAACAAAACCAAACAAATTTCTGGATTATTATGTTGCATAGAGCTTGCAAATAAATTTCGTATCCATTGGATGTAATAAATAGGATTCACTTTAGTTCCCACCTGGATCTTATTTCTTTTCTGAAATAGTTAAACAATTGGATGCTTTCAATTACTTATTCATTTTTTTTTAACCATTCTTCATTCTCTGTCTGTTTAAAAATATATATTGTTTAGCAAGACATATCTTTTTTTGAGTTACAAATGATCACTGACTGATTGCTGAATCCTCTTGCACTCAAATGAAATCACAATTTATTACAGACAAAATTGGAGCAATAATATGAAACTTTTAAATCTTAAAATTCAAACCTGCTTATTTCTTTATTTTCCAGATGATTAATATCTTTGAAATCAATTTGCTGTGAATTCTACAGACATGAAAACTGTAGTAGCGATGAAATCAAAACTAAATGTAGAAATGCCTTGCGAGGTTAGAAAAACAGCAAATTAAGAAGAATTAAAAAAAAAAACTGCAGCAGATCTTCCATCAGTAAAACGAATTAGAATGCAGCGACACAACACAACTTTTAAAATGTGCAAATCATCCCCAATGATTCCATAAAAATCATACTGCAGTCAGCATTCTCCTTTGTTCCTTCTTTAATTAAGCAGCAACACTAATCTGTCATGAAGGGGGGGAGAGAAACACTACTCAGAAAAACGAATCAAATGCAGTTTGACAAAAATACAAAAGAAAAAAAAACTAGCAACTTTTCATGAGAGAAGATGACACATCCACGCCCCTGCAGGCGCTATACTTCTTTGTTGACATCATAACACTGACGAAATCATTTGTTTGTCACATTCACATTTCCCTATTCTTGCTCTATGGTTGAACAAGTGCAGATGTGCACGCCAAACACCAACAAAGAGAAGTTCGTTAAAACATATGGCAATCAAAAAACAAAACAGAAAACTGAAAAATAACAAAAGCAGACATCATGGAAAGCCTAACTGGAAAAACACACTTCTCCAGCCATACAGTCAAAATGCAATGAGTCAATATTTCTGAGCGAGTGGGGGGAAATTAAAAGCCCTCTGTGCCAAATGTATCAATTAGAAAATGACGATAATCCCAAAATACCAGTTAAGTGTTTCGGCATCATGCATGTGAAATTGTGTGGAATTGTACACTGAAGTCCTGCCAAATAACTCGCATATCAAGGCAGTGACGCATCAATCTGACACTCAGGAGATAGCCTATCTTTCCCTAAATACCTTGGCGTGATAATATTATTTGTTTGCTTTTATCTTCAACAATGTTTCCTCGTGACGTGTCGAAATGCGGCATCTTCCCTTAAATCACCTGCTCACCAGCTGCCTTTTTCCTGCACGGGGCTGCTCTTCAAATAACGCAGCATTAGCAATGAGCGCCCTTGCCTGCAGACTTCCCTCAGACTCCCTCAGAAATTCTTCACAAAAACACATCCTCCCGAATTCTTTGAGACATCCCATATCTCAACAGCTGAACGCAGAAATAAAACAAGCCGGAGCAAATGGGAAGATGTGGATTGTGTTGACTGCATGATGCTTGAAGGCTTTTTACACATGACGCCAACCTTTCAGAGAGGCTCACAGGCGCAAAGATGACACCTTTTATATCATTGAAGTGTTATGGAGCCCTTATTCAGGTGTGGGGGATGTTCCATTCTATTTGAATTCATTGATTGAAACATAGAAGAGGGGGGACAATTCTTTGTTGACCAATCAAGTGAATGCGGTTCATTTCAGACATTGGCATGACATATCTCGATCCAAGTGGTGCGATACAATTCAAGCAATTACTTTAAAAAGTAATGATTCGTCAAAAAAAAAAACGAGTTTCCGATTTGAATCGATTTTTGCGACACCCGTAGATACATCAGGGCTTGAAATGGAAACATCACAGACGTCCCAAGCTTTTTGAGCTGTTGTTTTGTTTTCTTCACTGAATTCCCACAAAGAAGGCAGACAATTCTTTGCTCACCGATAACAATGGCATGCCTAGCTTGACCTTACCTTGACTACAGCACCAATATGTACAAAAGTGACTGTTACCCCAATAAAGGGTGACTGAGAAGGACGACGATTCTAGTCAATTGTTTTCACTGGAAATGCAAATAAACGTGGCTGATACCAAACAGAGCTTCTTCATTTGCCATGTCCTTCCAAAAATATTTAAAAACATTAAGAAATGGTCCCGATCCATTTTTTTCCCACCATAATAAACTATAAGGCTGAACGCATCACAACCGACTCTTCCGATTCAGATTGTGCAACAATAAAAATGAATAAAATGTCAAAATAAATAAAAGTCATAAGAGGTCATTGTGGTGTGCGGCACCCTGAGCCGATGTGTTCACCCACCCCCCAAAAAAAGAATGAAAAATATCCCATAGGTTGGATTAAGACAACATTTGTATGAAAAT